TTATAGAATAGTTATATGATAGATAAGATATTACGATAGATTTAAGTAATGATTGATTATTATTAAAGTATTAGTTATTAGAATTAGATATTAGATATAATAGTTATATATAGGGTTATATAGTTATAGATAGACTAGACTTAGACAGACGACTAAGAAGATTATTCAAGATCTCGTTACTTCAAGAACTTAAGATTAATTAGTAATTAGATAGTTTAGGAACATCATGTTATACATTATTACAATTATTTATTATGTGGTGGTGTGATTATTTATTGTCATCCATATTCAGACAGCTTGCCTCCCCTATTCTAATTCTATTTTTTCATTATCCATTCAGTTTTCACATAACTTATTTCGGTTTATTTGGTTGTGGGTCTCTTGGACTCATTTACATAGGGGCGGACATGTATAATTACGTGGTCGTGTATGTGTTCTAAATCAACATTTTCATTAGCATGAGAAAATATCAACAGTTACAAAACTCCCTCATGATTACATGCAAACGTAATCATCATCATTATTTCACTTGTACAAAAAAAAGAACAACAAAGTTCTTGCAAAGTAGCCATGATAATTATTATTTCACAAGTAAAAAGAAAGAAAGAAAGAATAACTGCAAAACCAATTAATTAAGAATTCGGTAGTGTTCAGATTTCTAAAAGATAAGACAGAGGAACATACCACACAGTACAACAGTAATGAATACCATGACTCCGACAACTATTTCAACCAATACAAACAACCACAACACAGCATACACGAGGCTCACATCATCGAATACACGCACCCTCACACCACATACCATATGAGATAATTCATTTCTCATTTCATGCTTATACCTTAATTTCTGCTACAACATGTCACCCACCGGAGCTTCATCTCACCACCACTCACCATAGCACACCATAGCCACGTCTCGACCCCAGCTCTTTAGACACAGGAGAGAATTCTGCTGAGAGGGAGCACTATTGCCAAAGCGGGTGGTGGTCCATCGGCCACACCACAGCCAGCGGGATGTACACAATATTCTAATGTATTTTAATTGTATTTGCGTCTCTCGTATACGGTCTCAGTATCCATCTGGGATCTAAAGAAGTGTCTATTATGGTAAATTAAAAAAAAAAACAAAAACTATAAACACCGAAGAGAAAGAGAGTAGACCAGACGACGCGCGACAGAGAGAGAGAGAGAGAGAGAGAGAGAGAGAGAGAGAGAGAGAGAGCAGAGCACGAGAGAGAGAGAGAGAGAGAGAGAACAGAGAGAGAGAGAGAAAGAGAGAGAAGAGAGAAGAGAGGAGAGAGAAAGAGAGAGAAGAGAGAGAGGAGAGAGACAGAGACAAGAGAGAGAGAGAGGAGACAGAGAGACGAGAGAGAGAGAGAGAGACAGAGAGCTCTAAAATCCTTGTTTTATCTTGATTAAATCTATTAATACCTCCCAC